GGAAAGAAAAAGAGAACGAAGGAGACAGACAAAGTAACAGGGTTTTTTTGCAGATGATAGAATTATATAACTAGAGGAAAATCATTAGAACTAATAAAAGAGTTCAATCAGATACAAAATAAATATCCTCAAATTAATAGTATTCCTAGTTATTTGCCATAACAAGTATGAGTGTTTGATAGGGGAAAAGTAATCCTTTTTCAGTGGCCAATAAAAGTATAAAATATCCAGGAAGACACTCAACAAGAATTCTGGAGGGCTTCACACTAAGAAACAAAGTACTGAGAAATTATATACCAACTCTGGAATATGATACACATGATATATCAATGTTACCACTTTCAGATGTGGAATCTGAGGCTTAGGCAGGTCAGAGATTTGCCCAGCTAGTTACCCATCGCTTGCATCTTCAGGGAACTTTACTGACACTTGGTCCCAGTGCTGCTGAAGAACATTCTTATTGATGCCCCTCTAAAAGGAGTCTCAGCAGTGTGGGTAACATTTCAGTGTGATGCGTGAAATCAACCTCTTTTTTCTAACCGGTCATTTGCTTTCTCTCTGCTCTCTCTGCCCCACTACACTATGTACCTCATGGCAGAGCTAAATTTTGTGAACTTCATTTTCATTCCTAGCCATTTACCTCTGACCTTTAATGAGAACTCAACAGAGCCCTTGTCCTTCACTGGCTAATCATCTGTGTGGATAGTTACACGTTCACATTGGCGGTTCCAACCCTGAGTAGAATGCAGCATCAACTTCTCAACTTCAGCTGTGAGGAAACCCCAGGAGTAGGACATTACTTCCCGGGTCACGACCTAGCACAGACAGAAATCAGGTCCATCTCCCTCATGCACAGGGAAGTGTAGGTCCAATAATGCCTTTTCCCCATCCTAACCCTCCCAGAAGAAAGCCAAGTTTCCCAGGAGAGGAGAAGTTAATGAATTACTTAATACATACTCTGGGTTGAAAGCCTATCCTGTTTTTAATTAACTGTAAGGGAAGCCTGGCCTGACCCTCAGGCTCAGGGCTTAAAACATGAACTTGGGCCAAACACGGTGGCTCAAGCCTGTAATCCCAGCACTTTGGGAGGCCAAGGTGAGGGGATTGCCTCAGCCCACGGGTTCTAAAACAGCCTGGACAACTTGGTGAGATCCCATCTCTACAATAAATCAAAAAAGAGTCGGGCATGATAGCGCACGCCTGTGGTTCTGGCTACTTGGAAGACTGAGGTGGAAGGACTGTCAGAGCCCACCAGGTCAACTCTGGGGTGGAACATGAGCATGCTGCTGCACTGCAACCTGGGCGATGGAGTGAGACTCCGACTCAAAAAAACAAAAACAAAAAACCATGAGCTTGTTATTTTGCTTTTCTTGCACTTTTCTGAAACCTCACAAGTTCCAGAGCAAACGCTGTATGGGTACCCAAAGCGTACAGATCCCATAAAAGGCACAGAAGACTGCGGGTGATGTTTTGGGAGCTGGCCAAAGCTAAGTGTTTCTTCTTGGGGATAAGGGGATTGGTTTTACAGCAGGGTGAGATGTAGATTTCAGTAGGATTTCCTTTATCACCAACATCCTTGGGTAGAGTCTAAGCCCCATTTACACAGAAGTCATTTTCCCCCCAAGTGTGAGAGTCAATAAAATAATTCACATCTAAACTTTAAATCAGACAAGCGTGGATGAAGTCAAAGGAAGATTTCTGGTATGGATGGGAGAAATGCCCCAAGGAAGCTAAAGAACATCCGTTTATTCATGGTGACTCTCCAACAAGGATTGGCATTTTTTAAAAATGAGGCATTCCCTAGCTATTGACCAGAAGATGGCAGCATAACTCAAGAAACGAAGCCAGGTTCCTTGATTCCTTAGATCGGTTTCAAAGGTTCTTCATAATGCCAAAGAGAAAAATATCCTTTTTACTCAAACAATTGTTGCTGGGGGTGGGGGGATTATGGGTTTCCAGAGACAGTAGTTGCACGTTTAGTATCTTCTGGTTAAAAATAAATGCTATATGACAAAAGCTACAATTAGCTCATTACAACTTTTGAAGAAACGAATATTTTAATAGTCACGCAAAAACATCTACATACTTTTGAAGCATAGAAACAGGGTTTAACACTTGTGTGAAGAATAGTCACATCCACTCCAGACAATCCTTGGCATGCCTGTGCAGGCCCAGACCTTGGCAATAACTTTATGCTGCCCAGGGGTCCTTAATCCACACGATGAGACCACCGCTTTCGTCAACCCTTGCTCCCTCTCCCTCCCACCCAGCAGTTTGCTGAAAGCTTAGAGAAGCTGAGAAAAGTTCAAAGGACAGAGTGAAACCCAAGTCCCCACTTTCTGCATAGAACTAAGTCTTTGAACTCCAAAACCTGCCTGGTATAAATCACAAGGAATCTGGCACCGCTGTTAACTTTTGAATGCAGAAAACATCATGTAAAACTCTGTGGGAAAGAAGAGTTTCCCAATGAGACAATATTTATGGTTGACAAAATTACAAGATCTGGAGTCCAAATGCCTGAGTGGGAGACAGGCATTTCTATTTCTGTTAGCTGTGTGATCTTGGATATGTTACTCAACCTTTCTGAGCTTCTATTTCCCAACCTGCAAAATAGAAAGCATATTTCTTGTTTCCTGGAGTTTTTGTGTGGACTAAGTGAGATCATCTACATAAGGCAATTAAGGTAGTGCTTGGCACACGCAGGATTTTAAAATGTTGGCTGCCATTGTCGTTACTGGCATGATTATCATTGCCATTACTATCATTATGATGACTCATATCATAGGAGTGCATCACTGAACACTGGGAACTTCAGGAATGAAGTCTCCTTTAGGGAACTCAGCAGGGAATGGTGTCATATCATGGTTGACATCTATTCATCCACAATGTCTCTTAGTTTTCAACATTTCCAAAGTGTCCTAATAAAATAAGGGCAACATTTCATCCTTGGCAATGCTGACACAAGGTTTCCTGATTCAAGAATTCAGAGAGCAAAGCATCTTGGGAGGACTGGCTTCCACCACTGCTGGGGCTGGGGCTGCCATCCCTGGAGAGGCTACTCGCAACAGATGATCGTGACTGAACTGTTTCTGCAGGATGTGTGACTGTCTGAGCACGGGGACATGTAGATATCTGGGACTGAGCTTCAGATTTTAAAAACCCATCTGAAAAGTTAAACCCTATGTCCAAGGAAAGGTCCTAAGCCTTCCTTTCCAAAGGTCTCCTATTTGTAAGAATAACATTCTCCCGTGCATTTCACAGTTTCTCACCCTCAGTAACAGTGAGCCTTTGGCTAAAGTCTGGCCTGTAAGAGCAACATGGAATAGACTGAAGGAGCAACCTTCCTGGACTTCACCCTTTCGCAAAGTGACCAGCAGTCACTACAAGCAGGGACGTTGCTGAGATACCAGACACATAGGCAAGTGTAGACAGATGAGGTAGACCATGCACTGGAGGTGAGAACCCATGGTGTTAATCCTGTGTCAAGGTGGTAAATAAGAGGCCGTTAGTGTCACGGACACTAAACCATCTGGACCATGGTGCTTCAGGGCTACCGCATAGCCACTCACTTGCTTTTCATTCACAGACCAAAAAGCTTGCTAAGTGCACTTCACAAAGGGGAACAGCAAAGGGGTAAGTGCTCAATTTAGGGGATAATGTGGCCTGGGTTAAATTTGGCTACTGCCCTGCCCTGACCCATGTTGAGGGCTTCAGAGGGCAACCTCAAAGAGGCATCCTTAAAACCCAACAGGATGGGCTGTCTATCTCACGTGTCCCAGGACCAGGAGGAGGCAGAGTAAAATGGACTAAGGAAGCAGCCCCACAAAGATGTAGACAGGGCTTCTCCATCACTCCGCTGATTGTTTTCCCTGAAGGACAACAACATTCCTGGCTGACCAGGGAGCATACTGATTATCCCTCCAAACTATTAAGTGAGAGAATAACAAAAGGTAGTGCTATATCAGCCCTGGCATGAGAAAGCTTCCAGAATCAAAGCAGCAGCTCAAGCCATGGATTGGTTCAGAGACCTTAGCAGTAAGACCTCTGGGCTCTTTCTCTAAGCAGGCACCATTAATGCAATAGAGCTTACTGCTAATTTTCTTCTTTTATTTTTAGAGACAAGATCTTTCTTTGTCCCCAGATGGCTACAGTGACACGATCATAGCTCACTGCGGCCTGTAACTCCTAGGCTCAAATGATCCTCCTGTCTCAGGCTCTCAAGTAGCCAGGACTACAGATGTGTACTGCCAAGCCCAGCTAATTTTTTATTTTTTTTGAGTCGGGGTCTCACTCTGTCACCCAAGGCTAAAGAACAGTGACACCATCAGGGCTCACCACAGCCACAACCTCCTAGGCTCAGGCAATTCTTCCATCTCAGCCTCCTGAGTAGCTGGGGCTATACCACACCCAACTAATTTTTTTATTTTTGTAGAGATATGGTCTTGCTGTGTTGTCTAGGTTGTCTAGGCTGTTCTTGAACTCCTGGGCTCAAGCAATCCTCTCATCTCAGCTTTTCAAAGTGCTGGGATTGCAGGTGTGAGCCACTGCACCCAGCCAAGCCCAGCTAACTTTTAAAATTTTTTTTGTAGAAATGGGGTCTCGCTATGTTGCCCAGGCTGGTCTCAAACTCCTGGCCTCAACAATCCTCTCACCTCAGCCTGAGGCGTGAGCCACAGCACCCAACTATCTCCTAATTTTCATTAAAGGTTCAAGTTCTCAGGAAAGATGATCAGACTGACCACCCTTAGTCCAGTGTCTCCATCCTTGGATGAACTAGCTACAGTTAGAAGGTAAGGGTGACAGGGAGTCAGTACAACACAGACACAACTGCTAGGAGGGTTATTGAGTCTCTGACAGCCATGACACATTGTGATGCCTGCAACAGCCTTGGAGCTCATTCCCCTGCTGTATTTAATTCTTCTCTTCCCACAGGCTCTCACCCAAGAACAGTCCCCAGGAGGTCACCCTCATCTGAGAAAAGCCTGCGGTCATTTACTTACTTATCATTCACAAGTTTCCCATGTTGGTGGATCTGATTTTCCATCGTGAAGTTGATCGTAGCACCGTACACGTGCTCACCGAAAAACACCTTCATTTTAGACTTGTATTCTTCATCTTGAAAATACCGGATCATATCTGGGAACCAAACTGTCAGTCCATAGTAACTGTGATAGAGAAGACAGAAGGTTGAAGCAACAGCACGATCAGTTCTTTCATGAGCAAAAAGTCTACATTCTTGACTTGATAGAGATAAAACTCCTGTTCAATGTGTTAATTTGATTCCTATTTAAAAACTTAATAATATAACTCATCATATTAATAGATCTAAGGAAAAAACCATGACCACTTCCATAGATACTAAAAAGGTCTTTTATTTTTTTTTAAGAAAAAGATAACTACGATATTCATTTCCAATAGAAACAAAAACAGACTAGGGATTGATGAATGCTTCCTTGATACATAAGAAAATACATGTCTCAGCTAGAATCTAAGTGAATAAGGAAACACTAGCAAGAAGGCCCTGGTTGAACGAAGTGTAGTACTGTGCTGTGATACTGTCATCATTCCCACCAACCTCAGGACTAAGACAAGGATGCCCGTGATCACCACCACAACTTAATACTTTATTGCAGGTCTTAGCCAACTCAGTGAGACAAGAGAAAGAACATAAGGATGTAAAATTGCAAAGCGAGAGGTAAAACGATCTGTATTTGCAGTTAATATTCTATGCATGAAAAACACAACCATTCAAAATAATAGATGTTAATCTCACCTATAATAAGACAAATGCAAATTAAAAACCACATTGTTACCATTCTCACCTGGCAAGTTGTCAAAATCTTAAGGGTTTGCTAAAATATTTTGTGGTGAGACTGCAGACAACAGGCACTCACATGCATTGCCGAGAAAGGGGCAAAACTGTACAATATCTTATGAAGGGGCATTGGCCGATGCCTAAACATTTAGTGAGGAACTTACCCCCTCTGATCACCTAATTCCACGTCTAGGAATCTATTCCACTGATAAACCAGCCCAAATACAAAGTGGCCCACAAGCACGGTTACTCATCGTGGCATTGTTTGCTAGAGCAAAAGTCTGGAAACTTCCTAAGAGTCTAGCAGGAAGACCCTGGTTGAATAAAGTGTGGGACTGTACTGCGGGGTGCTCTGCAGATGTACTATGCCACTGTGAAGAAGAACGAGGAAAATCTCAGTTTACTAGCAAGGAGAAATCCCCAGAATATACCATGAAGTACAAAAACCAGTTGCAAAACAGTGTGTCCTTTGAATAAGAAAAAGAGGAAGAAGCAAGAATCTGTAATATATATAATTATTTGCTTACATTTGTAAATGTAAATGTAAATATATAATTATTTGCTTACATTTGTAAAAAGAATCACTGCAATGATAAATAGGAAAATTTTTTTAAATGTGTATAGAAGGCAGAAGGGAACAGATGGGGGCGGTCAGGATTGATGCAATATGTGCCAACATCTGAGATGCATTACCTATTCAACAGAATTAAATTACACATAAATAAATATAAAAACACAATGCTTAAAAACTACCAGTGAATTGAATCCCAGTGTCTGTCACATTTGGTTTCTAAAATGTTCTCTCCTAGTTCGGACTGAACAAGAGAAGGGGAGCAGGGTCAGGCTTCCTCCATACCTTTTCCTGTTGGGTTTAGAAGGTCAGGTCTCTAAGAATAGGTACCGAAAAACATTAGGTCTCCCTATGTTTCTCCCACAATCAAACCGGTCATTTGAGCCCATTTAATTTCCGGGAGCGAAGGAGTGTGTCTTTGAGCACAGGCAGTGGTGAAAAAGCAATTTTATAGACGGAAGTTTAAAATCTTGCAAATAGTTCCTAACTGATGATTTACTGAGCACTTCTTATGTGTCAAACTATTGCAAGCAATTTATCAATATTCAGAGAAACAGCCCCATAATGCCTAAAAGCGCCAACTCACATAAAAAGAAGAGTCATGTTATTTGGAGGTTAATGTAGTGACTGGGCTAGAGCCTGCTATTACAGAGAGGAGTCAGGTAATCACCAATCACATTATATTTTAGCGTTCTTTATTGCAGAGTACAGTACTGCAGAGTATTGCGTTTCCATCTATGTAATATGATGGCTGCCTACTCAGGACCTGTTTCCCTGCTTCTTTGTGAATAAAAACTTGATTTTATGAGGTGTCAACCCTCAAGAACAATACTAGTATCTTGAAGTCAGGGTAAATCCTGATTAGTCCAAAATCATTGGGAAATCAATCCCATTTCTTTTGCCAGTGATTAGTTTAGACAGATGGGTTTGGCAAGCAAAAGGAGGGAAAGTTAGCTGGGGCTCAGCAATTAACAATTAGTTAATAGCAAGTAGTTAACAATGAGCAATTAACAGTGAACAATGCTGAACTTGAAATTTGCTAAGAAGGTAGATCTTAGGTATTCTCAACACACCCACATACAAATGGTAACTATATGAGGTGATAGATATGTTTATTAGCTTGATTGTGGCCATTATGTCAGTGTCTATATATCAGAACATCAAGTTGTATACCTTAAATATCTATAGTTTTTATTTGCAATTATACCTCAATAAGTGTGGGAGGAAATTTTAAAAAGAAAGTCTCTTCCAAAATGACTGACGGTACTGGGAAACTATGGGGGGGCGATGGGATTAACAGTAGCAAATATCTGTCTGGGGCTGGGGAAACACCACTTATCAACAGGGTGCCTGAATGAAACACAATTGTACACCTAACCCTTAACTGTACCCCACAAAACCATAATAAAAAATATTGATAATAATAATAATAATAATAACCCACATTTATTGAGGATTTATTATGTACCAGGTACTGTTCTAAATGCCATATATATATGATCTATCAACTTATTAAATATTTTTAATACCCCCCCAAAAAAAGAAAGTCTCTTCCTTTGTGGAACATTTGTTTCCACGTCAAAAGTAGGCCTAGAAAAGCACAGGCATCTTGCAGCCACAATGAGAACTAGCTTGAGACTGAAACTTCTGGAGCCTGCTTCTCTGCAGAATTCTTGTTACAAAGGATAAAAAATTTTCTCCTTGTAGAAGCCACTAGGGTGGGTTGCCTGTTACTTTCAGCCAAAGCATCCAAACTAATACAAACTCCATGAGTTGGAGCCAATTGTAATCTTCAACGTATACTTGAGGCAACTGAGGCAGGGAAATTAAGTTACTTAAAATAGAACTTACCTTAAAGCCATGGTAAACCAGACCACAGCCAGAATCAGCGTGTTCATTCTGTAGGGCCCCATCACACAGTACAGCGCATTATCCCAGACCTAGAACCCGTGCCAGAGAAGGATTGTTAAGGGAAAGAATGTGCAGCTCGAAATAGCCCATTTTTCAGATTTTCTAATAAATTTCCTAAGAATGCATGAAGATAATGGGCATTCCATTAGCTCCCAGAAGCAGCAATCTGTCCAAATGAGAGTAGACTTTATTCTTACTGGCTGATCTCGCACTCTAACAGTCTGATGGTATTTTCCCTAGGAACTCGATATTCCACAAATGTGACTGAAAGCACGCTGAGTTAGAATTTCAAGGCACTGAATAACCTTGAATGGTGAGTTCTGCTTCCTGCCTGTGGACATGGGTGATATTCCAAATATTTATTGAGCACCAGCCCGTCTCAATAGACTCTGATCCGCTAGCTGCCTCGGTTCTCAACAGCTGATTTGCTCCCTGCCTGTAGGAGCCAGTGCTCCAGAGAAATGGTATTGCCCTTTATGAAGAATCTTGCTCAGAAATCACTAACAAACCTTAAGAGGCCATTTGTTTCACTCACTTCTTCCTTCCTATGGATTATTTAAAGAGAAGTTGCTAGTGAGAAGGGTGTGTACTCAGACTATCCATTTTACCTGCATTCAAAATCCCTGCCTTGGGAAGGAAGAACAAAGGAAAGAAACTAAGGTTTGGAGAGCGTGTGCCTCAAGGGCACACAGCAAGTTAGAGGCAGACGTGGGCTAGGTCCCAAATATACCCACCAGGGTTGCTTCCTCTCCATCATGCTGCCCTAGGTTGATGGGGACATTCAGGGTCTTCATTCTTCACCCACTAAGGTTACAGACTCCCATAGAGCTACCCTCTCATCTAGCCTATGTTCCCAATCATACCTGCTTGAAAATAGTCTTGAATCTGACCAGCCAGCGCTGGTACCAGGTTCCTGTTGAACTTTGGATCTCAATGAATTCATCCATTTGCTTGGGAGTTTTGATGTTGGAAACCTAAAAAGCAAAGATGGGCTAGAGAATCTTCACTCCACTCTGTGCCAGAATTTTCTTTTCAATGTTTAGTTTAATGTAACTGACTTTATTAATTTAAAGCTAGAGGAGTCTTTGATGACCCTCTGGTTCTGTGACTCAACCAGAGATGTACATAGCATCTCTTAGAGATCTTTCTCAGGTGGCTATGTCCTACTGCAGTTAAAATGAACCGGAATCAATCATGCTTTGGGGAAATTTATATTAGTGAGTCCATAAGACACTGAATTCTCATTTATATCTGTTTTACCCACAACTCTATAGTACCATATAATTCACAACTCTATCCTTAATGGGTATTAATATCATGGAAGTTTAGAACCTCATGACAGTATGAGGAAAGAATGATACTACTTAACAACACCGTGAGAGAGGTCATGGCCCTGCTGCTATTCCCTGTTTTCCTGGTAGAAATCAAAGAGTTAGGGTGTAGGGATAAGGTTGTATATCTTAGTATTCCCCTCAAGGGCTATAGAAAGTATTAATATACCCAATGTGGGCAAAGAGCCACAAAAAGCAGTCGTGACTCACTAAGACAGTGATTTTCCACTTAAGCAGATGTTTAAAGCTGCCATTGAATTGTATAACTAATCACCATCTTGCAGAGATTCCTGCCTACACAAACTCTTTTAGTGAAGTTATCGAGGTCTATGCTTGTGTACAATCTTGCTTAATTCATAGAAGAAATGAAAGAGTGTACATAAAAAATAGATTCCATCATCTCCTCCAACAAACTTTTTGTCTAGGAATAAAAACAAGCATCCCCATCTCTTCCTTCAGCCAAAGAACTGAGAATGTGAGACAAAAAAAAGAGAAATAGAGACAGAACTGGATAATCCACAGGCAGAAAATCAGTCCCTAGATATGGACAACTGACTCATTATTTCCTAAGCACTAGGTCTAAGACAGCCTGGCTCTGCTCTTTTAAACCATAAAAACAGTGGCTCTTAAACCTGTGGGAGGCCAGGAACCCTTTTGATGAAGGCACAGGATTTCTTCCCTGAAATTTCACATATATAAACACTCTGTGAGCCTTCTGGACTCGTCCCACCATTCCCAGGTATGTGACCTTTGCAAATGACCTTCTGCCTGGAGTCAGACAGGGAAACTTCAGAACTAACATGGCAGGCCCTGCAGTAGAACTCTTGACTGGAGCAGGGCTTCAAGTCACCCGATACCCCATGGATGTTATGAGCCCCAGCAACAGACAAAGAGGGCCAAAAGAGGAAGCTGACATCAAATCTGGAAGCACCTCAGAAACCACAATCCAAAGCATTAAGATATCCACTCAATTAATTTTTCTTTTTCTTTGTTCCTTGGGAAAAATAACAACCCATTCCCTAGGGACTTGGGAGTGGGTGTGCTGACAACTTCAAGCATAGTTACTCACTCTAATTTACAATTAATTGGAATACTTGTCTATGATTCAGTCTAAATTAGAATACAGCCAGTGTTACCCCAGTTCTGCAGAATGTAGGTTCTCAGATGAATACTTCATCTCCTCCTCTTTCAAAAATGTCACCGGGGACACTCACCAGCTGGCAGTTCAGAGGGTTGTGACAGAGCCAATGCAGCTGGTAATACCTAGGGCTCACAGTATGAGCACCAACTGAGATTCCGACTTGCCCTCAGCTCTTTCTCTAGGCCACTGAATACATTTATGAGAGCATTTACTGGTGAGGAGCACACAGAAATAAAACGTAACACTATCAAGTTAAGCTGAGGATCTATCCCTGACTGCCAACCACAGGCCAGCTATCTGAGGTCAGTGACCACTTTCTAGTTGTCTCTCTCTTCTTTTTTATTCTTTTCCTGGCCCATCTAGCCAATTAAATACTTAATATGATAAATAAGTCAGTAGCATAGAATACTGAACTCATAAACTTTTAAATTCTCTTTACCTGTTGGGTCAAAAACTACTAAAAGCAGAGATGATGCCTTAGAACCTAGTAACTGGCATGGATGCTGGGATAAGACACATGCTGGGATAACTCCCCACCACTCATTGATTTCTGCCTAAATTTCCTCCCTCGGGATGTGCTCCCATCCCTGAAATGAGGAATTCTAGTCGCAATGTAAAAAGTTTAGCTTTTGTCTTTGGAAAATGGAGTTTTTATTGATTTCCAGGCTAAGACCTCATTCTTCAACATTAGAATGCTTCCATTTGTTAAAAGAATTCAATGGGAAGTCGGTGGCTCTAATGCCCTGAGTTTCTACATAATCAAACCAAAACCTAACTCAGAATGTAAATGAAAATAAAACAAGCTTAGCTAATCACAGGTGACCCAGTAGGCACTGGTTATGTTATCTTGAACTTCCCCAAGGAAATAGTCCAAAATAAAGCAATTGTTCAAACTTTAACCAATCAAGTGTCTTTGCTTCTGCATTTACCCTGTAAATAACTTTCCTTGGAGCTTCTTCGATGGAGCCCTGATAACTTCATTTTGGAGGTACCTGATTCATGGGTCATTGTCTGTTTAAATAAATTCTTTAAAATTGTGGTGTGCCCTAAAAAAGCTAGAAAAACAAGACCACAAAAACCCTAATTTCAGCAGAAGAATCCAGATCACCAAAATAAAAGCCCAAATCCAGGACATAGAAGACTTTTAAAAGATAATACAAAAAAATCAATGAAACAAAAAGCTGGTTCTTCGAAAGGATAAACAAGATCGATGGTCACCTAGCTAGACTGACCAAGAAAAAGAGAAAAAAAGCCCAAATAAACACAATCAGAAACACAAAAGATGAAGTCACATCTGATCCTGAAGAAACACAAAAGATCATTAGAGACTACTATGTACACTTGTATAGAAACAACCTTGAAAACCTTTCAGAAATGGAGGACTTTCTGTCACCACACAACCTGCTTAGGTTGAAACAAGAAGAAATTAGACCCTAAAAAGACCAATAACAATCAAGGAAATTGACTACGTAATAAAAAAACTACCTTAAAAAAAAGCCCTGGACCAGATGGCTTTCCAGCAGAATTCTACAAGACATTTAAGGAGGAACTTATACCAATCTTACTGAAGGTATTTCAGGTGATTGAGAAAGACGGAACTCTCCCCAAATCATTTTACAAAGCCAACATCACATTGACACCCAAGCCAGGTAAAGACCCAACAAAGAAAGAGAACTACAGGCCAATATCTTTGATGAACATAGATGCTAAAATTCTCAACAAGATCCTAGCGAACCAGATTCAACAACACATCTCAAAAATCATCCATCATGACCTAGTAGGCTTTATCCCTGGGATGCAAGGCTGGTTCAACATTCGTAAAACCATAAATGTAATTAAATACATCGACAGATGTCAAAACAAAAACCACATGATTATATCATTAGATGCAGAAAAAGCTTTAGATAAAATCCAGCACCCCTTCTTGATAAAAACCCTTGAACATCTAGGCATACAGGGAACATACCTCAAAATAGTAAAAGCCATCTACGAGAAACCCACAGCCAGCATACTCCTAAATGGACAAAAACTGGAACCATTTCCCCTGAAAACTGGAACAAGACAAGGATGCCCACTCTCACCCCCCCTGTTCAATATAGTATTGGAAGTCCTGGCTAGAGCAATCAGAGAAGAGAAGGCAATCAGGGGTATTCAAATAGGAAAAGAGGAAGTCAAGCTATCTCTCTTTGCAGATGACATGATCATATACCTTGAAAACCCAAGAGAATCTGTCAAAAACCTCCTTACACTGATAAAGGCCTTTGGCAAAGTCTCAGGATATAAAATAAATGTGCAAAAGACAATTGCATTTCTTTACACCAATAATAACCAAACAGAAACCGAAATAAAAATCACAATTCCATTCACAATAGCCACCAAAAAAATGAAATACCTTGGCATCTTCCTAACCAGAAACGTGAAAGATCTTTACAATGAAAACTACAAAACACTGCTCAAAGAAATCAAAGATAACACAAACAAGTGGAAAAATATCCCATGCTCATGGATTGGAAGAATCAACATTGTGAAGATGTCCATCTTACCTAAGGCAATCTACAGATTTAATGCAATACCCATCAAATTACCAGCAATATTCTTCTCAGACCTAGAAAAAACAACACAGGAATTTATATGGAAATACAAACGACCAAGAATAGCCAGAATAATCCTCAGCAAAAAAAAAAACAAAGCAAGTGGTATCACATTACCAGACTTTAAACTTTACTATAAAGTTACAATAATCAAAACAACTTGGTATTGGTACAGGAACAGGCATATAGATCAATGGAACAGAATTGAGATTCCAGAAGCAAAACCTCAATTTCTCAATCAACTCATCTTTGACAAAGCCTCCACCACCCTACCACTGGGGAGAGAAGAACCTATTCAGTAAATGGTGCTGGGAAAACTGGCTGACCACATGCAGAAGACTGAAACAGGACCCCTATCTATCCCCATACACAAAAATTAACTCTAAATGGATCAGAGACCTAAATGTAAAACTTCAAACCATAAGAACCTTAGAAAACATACCCTCATGGAAATTGGAACTGGCATCCAGTTCCTGAACAAAACCCGAAATCCACAGGCCATAAGAGATAAGATAGACAAGTGGGACCTCATTAAAACTGACAAGCTTCTGCAAAGTCAAAGAAACCATCAAGAGAGCAGGGAGACAGCCTACAGACTGGGAAAAAGTATTTGCCAACTCCAGGTCTGACAAAGGCTTAACATCTTGGATCTACAAGGAGCTCAAATGTGCTGAAAAGAAAAAAACAAACAACCACATTATAAAAGATATGAACAGACACTTCTCAAAGGAAGACATCCGAGCAGCCAACACATGAAAAAATGTTCAACCTCACTAATCATCAGGGAGATGCAAATCAAAACCACGCTGAGATACCACCTAACTCCAGTCAGAATGGCAATTATCAATAACTCAAAAAATAACAGTTGCTGAGAGGGTGTGGCAAAAAGGGAACACTTCTACACTGTTGGTGGGAGTGCAAACTAGTACAACCTCTGTGGAAAACAGTATGGTGATTCCTAAAAGCTCTAAATATTGACCTCCCATATGACCCTGCAATCCCCCTACTGGGAATATACCCTGAAGAACTCAAATCACTCTATAAAAAAGATGCCTGCACACGTATGTTTATCGCAGTAATGTTCACAACAGCAAGAACCTGGAAGCAACCATGGTGTCCATCAAAAGAGGACTGAATTTTAAAAATGTGGTACATATACACGATGGAATACTACGCCGCCATAAAAAAAGAACAAAATCATGAATTTCGCAGCAACCTGGATGGAACTAGAGTCTATAATACTGAGTGACCTCTCACAGAAACAAAGATCTGAGTATCACATGTTCTCACTCATATAATGGAACTTGAACATCCAATGTAATACTATAAGAAAAAGACTGATAGTGGTGGGAAATTATGGGGGGGAGGGGAAGGAAAATGGGGGTAAATATCTGTCTGGGACGGGGAGACACCTCTTATCAACAAGGGTGCTTGAGCAAAGCATATTTGTATACCTAACCCTTAACTGTACCCATCAATATCATAATAAAAAATATTGATAAAAAAAATTGTGGTGTGCTGAAGTTCATCTCTTAACGCATCAGAATGAGTTGTCAAGAGAGAATGTGGGACCACTTCTCCAAAAAGGACTCCTAGCTCCCAATTCTATTTGGTTGGTGTAGACATGGTCCTTCTGGAAGCCACAGCAGGGAAATGCCTGGCTGGGCATCACTGTGTGGCAGCCACTGTGCAACCCAGGGTAGGAGGAGTTGGAAGGGCATACAGTAGCCCTGGGAAAGGCAAGGACAGGTGGCTCAAATGGGGTGGGGAGGAATAATCTCTCAGCACTCCTCTTAGGACAGACTGTGTTTGTTTGTAATGCATCTGTTAATAAACTGCTTGAGGAATGGGGGAATCCCAAGGAGACACACTCCGACTGAAAAGACCAGTAATTTACTATACATAAGCCAAAGAGAAGTTGTTTCATTCCAGAGGGAGAAGAATAGAGAGACAGCAGAGGAGAGGAGATCCAGAGAGAATGAGGAAAAGAGGAGAGGGCAGAGAGAAAGGAAGGAGAAGGCTGCACGGTGTGGTACAGTTCCTCTGTTCTCAAGTGTTTCACAAGGCGATTAAGCCCACAAAGGCTTGATATGGGTGGTATCTGTGTCTCTTTTATGTGTGCCTGCATCTCCCTATTTCTGCATGTGCGTGTCTGTGTGTCTGTGTCTCTATGTGTGTGCCCACTTCTACATGTGTCTGTGTGTATGTCTGAGTGTCTGTGTGTCTGTCTGTCTGTACTTAAGTATCTATGTCCATGTGTGTATCTGTGTGTCTCTGTGTATCTGTGTGTCTCTGTGTGTGTGTCCGCCTCTACATGTGTCTGTGTGTATGTCTGTGTGTGTGTGTGCACACATGCACTCCTGTGCTGTGTGTCTGTGTGCCTATCTCTAGGTGTGTCTGTGTCAGTGTGTGTTTGTGTCTCTGTGTGACTTGGTGTGTATGTGCCTATTTTTGTGTGTGTATGTGTGTGTGCATGTGTTTCCTAACAGGCTGATATAGTACAAAAACCAACCAAGCCAATGTGGATTTAGAGGCTGGAGGCCAAGAGAGAAGATGGAAACTTCGCCCAGGAATAAGCAGGAGCTCAGGGAGAAACTTGGACTTCCTCAGGCTGTGGTGGGAGCAGGAGGTTGGATTGAGCCAAGCACACCCTGATTCCAGTGGACAGGGTGTCCTTCACTAATGTCTGCTTTTGACACCTGCAGCCCAGCTGTAGCATTACAATCCATCACAGAGTTGGTGGGCATGGAAGATTGAGAGGACCATTTTAGCCCTTAACGTCTTTCATTTGGAGTTTTTCCATTGTGTTTCTTAATAAATGCTTGCAATAAAAGCATTGGTCCCATATTTTAGATATTTTAGGAGCATTAAAGTTGATAAAATATGCCATCAAGCAATTTTTCCATAAAATGTATAACAATTAATTTATGTAAATAAATGTCATAACATTTTTAATAATGTTTACCATCTTTGTAGCACTTACTCCAAGCCCGGCACTGTTTTAGGTGCTTTATTTATCCCTCACCATAGTTGTACTTATAGAAACTATTAACCATCTTTTTCATGATGAAACTGAGGCACAGAGAGTCCCTTGCCTATAGCCACATAGCCCAGTACCAGACTGCCAGGCTCCAGGGTGTAGATGGTTAGCAACCATGTAATTCTGCTCAAGAATGAGGAGTTTTAAGCAATAGATTAATAAAGGGAAAATATTTTACTTGAGTCTGAAATGATGGAAGTCAAAGAATCAAAAGCAATAAATCAAAGTTAGCTCCAAGTTAATCCATCCAGGAAACCTCCCTTGAAGAAATGGATTTGAAGTAAGTCTTGACAGAAGTTATAGTAACAAGTGCCCAGACACATACCTATAGCCTCCTGGTTGTCCAGAATGTGGCAGGAAGGAGCACAGCATCTCTGTAACTAACAGGACATCTTTATGGAAATTACCCTTGATAGGGCTTTTCCTTTTTTTCTTTTTAAACCAGCAAGAAACAAAATTCAGGCTAAAAACCAATGCTGGTGAGGGTTAGAGAAACAGGTCCCTTATTGCCTGTGGCGTTGTTGTACAACCCTATTGGAATGTAATCTGTCCATATATCTCAAGAGCTATAAAAATACCCATGCTCTTTGAGCCAGTAATTTTCTTTCTAGGAGTCTACTCTTAGAAAATAAAGCCAGAACACGAAGGGAAGAAAATATGTGCATGAGACAGTTCATTGCACTAATATTTACAGAAGCAAGATAATGAAACAGGGTGAATAAACTTCTAACATTAGAGACATGTTCAGGAATACTGTGAAAATGTTCCAGACATTAAAGTTCATTAAAATGATGGTCATGAATACTATGGGAGAGCTGTACTGCTAATAGTACATGTATATAAATACACTTATGTATGCTTATCCCCATTAAATATAGTTAGCTTCTTCTGTCATCATTTTTTAAAACAATTAGCTACCCAAGGAAAAACCTAAATGGGTAGTTATCAAAATGCAATAAATGATTATGAAAGTGTGATCGGCATATCAGAGGTTTTGTTCTCCTTTTGACAAATTTTTTGTTACATGTTTATATAATAAATTATATTTTTTAACAAAACAAAAGAGTTAAGAGGAGAAACTCCATCTTGTTGGAGGAAAGAGGGGAAACCCCATCTGCAGGGGACCCCACACTCACTGTGAACACCTTCTCTGGGGTCCCCTTAGCCCTCATGTTGGTGTCATGGACTTGCTTGAGAATCATCCAGGCTTCATCATGTTTGCCCATCTGGAAAAACCAAGGAAGGAGACATGAAAAATTAATGGCTGAGTTCGCTTTCTGTTCATCGGGCGGGGGAAATCCTACAAACTCAAAGGGAATGCTGATACCCAGGTCTGAGGCAACTGGACATGGAATCATTACTGCCCAGTGCTTGAGAAAGACTAGGACAAGTCTCTGTCCCCAGCCACTCTTGAAAGGATAATAAGGTTGTGCTTTCAAAGATATTAAGGTCATAAAAAGTAGGTATTATCACTATACACTCTGAGTAATTAACCATGGTTATAAGAGTGAATGGACTGGGATGTAGGAACCATGTTCCTTATTAATGAGATAAAGCAAAGAAGCAATGTGTTATGGGTTGAATTGTGTCCCCATCAAAGAAAAAGTATGTTGAAGTACTAACCGCCCCCCAGTACCTCAGAGTGACTTTTTTTGGAAATAGAGTTGCTGCAGGTGCAATTAGTTAAATTAAGATGAGGACAGGCTGGACACATTGTTTCAACTCTGTAATCGCAACACTTTGGGAGGTGAAGGTGAGAGGATTGCCTGAGTCCATGGGTTCAAGACCAGCCTGGGCAATTTGGTGAGACCTCATCTCTATAATATATATTTTTAAAAATTAGACAGTTGTGGTAGCGTGCGCCTGTAGTTCCAGCTACTTGGAAGGCTGAGGCAGAAGGATCGCCTGAGCCCAGCAGGTCAACACTGGGGTGGCCGTGAGCATGCCACTGCACTCCAGCCTGGGTGACAGAGTAAAACTCTTGACTCAAAAAATAATAATAATTAAGACATACTGGAGTAGAGTGGAACCCTAATTCAATATCACTATCATCCTTTTGAGGGAGTGGGGGAAAAGAGTCTTGCTCTGTTGCCCAGGCTGGAGTACAGTGGTACAATCACAGCTCACTGCAGTCTTGACTTCCTGGACTCAAGTGATCTTCCTGCATCAGTCTCCTGAGTAGCCAGAACTACAAGCATTCCCAGCTCATTTTTTAATTATTATTTTTGTAGAGATGGGCTTTTACTATATTACCCAGGCTAGTCTCAAACTCCTAAACTCAAGTGATCCCCTTGTCTCAGTTTCCCAAAGTGCTGGGATCATAGCTGTGAGCCATCACACCTAGCCCAATATCTCTGGTGTCCTTATAAGAAAACAGCCACGTGAAGGCACAGAGGCACAGGGAGAATGCCATGCGAAGACAAAGGCTGTGATTAAAGCAATGTGGCTGCAGGCCAAGGAATGGCAAAAACTGTCAGCAAGCCACCAGAATCTGAAAGAGGTAAGGAAGGATTCTTTCCTACAGCTTTCAGAGGGAGCATGGCCCTGCCACTACCTTGATTTGGAACTTCTAGCCTCAGAAACTGCGAGACAAATTTGTTATTTTAAGTCACTCTGTTTGTGGTGCTTTTTGTTTCAGCAACCCTAGGAAACTCCCTATTGCATCTGCCTCCTGATCAGTGGGATAAAAGAGGAAATCCAACATGGATGGAGGATCACTCCATAGAAGGCTCAGGAAGGAAGCAGGTATGTGAACTCTGTGGGTTGGGGCTACCAGAACCTAAAAGCCCTGTTTCTCCTCTGCCAGCTCCTGCCTTGTGTGACCTCTGCAAGCACTAGACCCCCCACAGGGGAAGGTTCCTGGGACTCATCTCTCAGGACCCTGGGTGCAGCTTTCTGGTAGCTCGGGGGGCCTGTGAAACTAAGAGTCCTGGAAGGCTTGGGAGCAGCGATGAGCTAAACCATTGATCTCACTGACAGACCATGGGAAAACATGCAGCTTTAAAGAGGCTCCGAATCAGGACCTCTGAGTGGGCACCGTGAGGTCGCTCAGGAGCTGCCATCCACCACCACACTGCCTTGGGGACAGGCCTCTGCTCTGTGCTCCATAAGCTCCTGAGCCCCTCCAGTGCTGACAGTCCATGAATTCATGACCTGCCACCATCACCAGCAGGAACAGAGCCAGATTTAATGAGTGAGGTCAGCCAACCTGCAAGAGTTTGCAACGTGCAAACAGGAGAGAACATAGAACTAGGAGCTGACAGAAAACAGGCTGTGCCATTATCGTCCTGCTGATGGGGAGGCACTGACTCACCTCTAGCAGAAACCTTGGGCTCTCTGGCATGAACTTCAGGGCCACCATGGACACTGTGCATGGCAGAGCACAGACGATGACAAACACCCTCCAGCTGTGGAAGTGGTAATTGGTCCCCATGCTGAAGCCCCAACCTGTGAAGGAGCAGTCAGTCAAAGGATTTCTAGAACACGGTCTTTTCCTCTACAGAAGAGTGACTCTGAAGCTCTGACTTGCAAACTTCAGGGCACAAGAGCGTCGCCTGAGGAGCTGGTTAAAATACAGTTGCTGGCTGCACCACCAACACTTCTGAGTGGGAGCCAGGAATATCTGCATTTTGACAAATCTGTAGGCCTAGACCTGGTCTGGCATTTACAGAGGAGCCTTAGATAAGAGTACAAATAGAAGCAACAGCCCATATTTCTATAGAATTATCCAATTTAATCAAGCTAACAAACTGTTAAATAATAGATGTTCTGTCTACCTACCTTGACAAATAACAAGGTAGAAGGCGAGGCCCAGAATTATACCTACCCTCACCAGACCCTCCTTTTTTCTCTCCCTCATCCCCTCCTGCAGAGTGAGGGGCCTCATGCCAACATGTGCGGACATGCCACACACATCACCATGGTAAGAATAAGCACTCTTTTCTTAATCCCGAGTTTATGGGAATTCCTGGGTCCTGAGGATCCAGGACATGATCTGGAGACAAGTGGGGAGGGAGGTCATGGCCTCAGGAATCCCTTGCCCCATGAGAGGAGGTGGAGCCAAGGGAAGGCCAAGCAGGGTCTCTTATGGTCCAGAGCTTCTATTAGAGACTCCTCTTACCCAGGTCAAAGGGCCATACCAGCTCCAGGTGATTCCGGTGCAAAGGGTTCAGGACCGCTCTTTGAAAATAAGTCATAATACAACGACATAAAATTTTTAAAATAAAAAAAAAAACTGAACTTCTACTTTCAGAAGTATCCCACCATCATTGAAAAGGAAAGGCAGTCAGCTCCTGTTCAGACGTCATTATTCAAAGCATTGTTAAAACTCATTTTCAGAAATTACATTCAGACATTATTTTGAATATCCTCATGGATAGCAAATTTTCCTCTTGTGAGTAACACAATAAAAAGAGCCTGGACTTTTGCAGTCACATAGATCTGAGTTCAACCCCTGGTTCTGTCACTCACTATTGCGTTGGTGGGTTTTCACAGCTGTAGAATGTGAGTAATTATACCTCCCCAGATTTGTATATATGAAACCTCCTGGCCACCCATCACAACTCATCTAATTTAAGGGTAGATTTAATATTTTTAGAAATAACTACATGACATTTAGTGTCAAGGATGTTGAATAAAATAGATAAGTATCAGCAAATCTCAGTAAAAGAACTGTTTGGGGAAAAAAGCCAAGTTTATAAAATAAACTGGTTTTCTCATGCCGCTAAAGTATTTCTGAAGACAATTCAAGCACCTGAAGACATTCAGCACCTGCATCTTTTGGTGTGTAGTGGTCGTTCGGGTGAACACATGACCTATGCTGATCCAATCAGAGGGAAATGAAAGTATTTTTTAAGACAAAACTATATAAATAAATATATCAACTGACAAAGTTTAGAGGGTAATCATTATTTGGATATAAAATTTATTTTTCATTTACTTAAAAATATAACATATGGCCAACTCCCACGGCGAGCAGCTTATGTCTCTCGTATTCTTCTTACTCCCCATTGTGGTTCAATCTGTTCTTCTTGCAGTAGAGCCTAACAAATATCTGCAGTTTCTGCAGATATTTTCTACTCTGTTTGCACAATTAAAGGATAGGCAGAGGGAATCCCAGGTGGGAAAGTGTGGGACTGTGGCCACTTGGACACATTTGGCCCCGGCAACGGAACACACACTCCATCCAACACACTCAATCAGAATCAAATCTCTTTTTGCACAGCTTGGTCTCTTCTCACTGGGCCTTGTTTGTTTGTCTTAATTTTAGTTAAAAAGGCTTTTTCTTTCTCCTGGGAGTAACACTAGGAAGAAGAAGATAAAACCATGGCAATATTTACTCCATTCTACGCAGCTCATGTCAAAAAACAATTCTGGCCTCACTAGAAGTAAAACTGATCAAAACTACACAACAGTCAAACTCAGGTGGATAACCAGGGAAGAGGGGTAGAAGCAGGTATGTTTATAAAGTATTCTGCCTCAAAAGATTTTTTCTTTATGGTAATATATATAAATTATCCCAAAATCCATTATTCCCTCATGGCTCTATAATTTTTGTGATGATTTCAGTAATCCAAATTCTTCATACTCATAAGGCACATCTTTGGGCCCTAAATTAAATAAAATTAAATGGTGAGCTGCTTCCAAATATTTTTAACAATATTAATTTGGAGGCAGAGATTGTTCTCTTCACTGATCTTTTAGCTTGCCCTACTTTCCTCTGTCAGGATTTCACAAACAGCTGGTGGTGCTGACTACAATGAGAATTAATCTTCCACAATATATCCATTTTTTCTGGGCTGCACCCATGAGTTCCCAGGAAAACACTCTGAGCTTTGTAATTTTTCCTTCTCAATGAGTCAGTCACCCAGACCTGGTGCCAAGACCTCCCATTACTTCATTCTTGCAAAAGCAACTAAATGGGTTACACAAACTGTATACACAAACATCAGTCTCTTTTCTGTAGTTATACTTGCATTTGCTTGAGGATTAATATCTTAGGAATATTGAGAAATAGCATCAAATGTCTGGTTCACTGTAGACAAAACATCTGGCACTGGTAAAGTGAGGCTTAAAATAAAGAATGGCTCTTGTTATATATTGTGATTCCAGTCTACCCTATTTCTAGAATGGGTTTCCCTCAAGCTAATGCCTGTTTCAATTAAGCCTGATTATCCAGGAGTCTTCTATTTTAAAACAGAGTGTAAAAGGCACAGATTTTATACAGGAATATAGGAAATGTCCTGTCCATTTGGGGTAAAATATTCAACCACAAGCCCCACTGTCAGTACATAGTGATCAGCCAGGAGCCACAATGACCCCTCTGCCATGGGCATCACATTCATCTTGGTCAACATGCTCCCAACCTGGCATTCTTTTATGGATTGTTTTTGTAGAAACCAGATACCTACACAATAGTGTGTGTTTGTGTATAGAGTACACTGAAGAAAAGATGCAATTTGTTGTGACTATCATGGTTGCTAGCTCCCCTCAAACATCCCCCTGTCCTTTTGTCTCCATTGTGTTATACACGTGTTTTAGGTGGTACTGACCTCACCCCCAGTTCCAGGGATGAGGAAGGAAGTGTATTACGTCATTCAGCACCTGCATTCTCTAGCATTCAGTGATTGGCTGAGGTGAACACATGACCTAACTTGATCCAATCAGAGGGAAATCAAAGGCCTTTGATCACTGGTTGAGTGTGAGGGTGTGACCCCCTGTGGAACAAGCAGTCTACAAACAGGAAGCCTAGGATTGCTAATGCTTCCAGGGAAGAAAGCTAGCCTGAGTACTAGAACTGTCATGAAAATGAGAACTGTCTTGAAAATGTTGTTAACACTCCCCTCGGCAGGAATCTTGCTAAATTCCAGGCAGGAATCTTGCTACAGTCAATTCTTTTTGCTTCCGTCCTTTCCTCCATTTTATAGGTGAAGGAACCAAGGCTGAAAAGTTGGAGTGACTTGTCCCATATCACACTGCACTACTCTTTTGACTCACCTTTTTTTTTTAGATTCACTTGTCCTCCCTAAATGGGTTTTTAATCACTTCATTTAAATATGGAAATAGTTTCTTCATGCTAAAACATCTGGTCAGTTAACAAGAAACATGATATATCAAGAATTGTGACAAAAAAGAAAAGAAAAGAAAAAACATTGCTCAGAACCATATAATCAACGATATAGTACATGGGCAATTAAAATGTGTGTTTGGGTGAAAGGTTGAATGCAGAACCTGAAATTAGGAATCACACAATTTTGTATCTAAAATTATGGAGGACTGTCTATAGTGACAGAATTAACTGGAAAACTCTTCAACTCTTTATTTCATTATTCCTGTTCATATTTCTTTTTCTGTTTCTGATATAAAAGTCCATGAATTCTCAGATACAAGATACAGCAAAAACTACATGATGTTTTCAAACCCACTTCCTCTACTTTCTAGACACACAGCTAGGCTATGCTTACCAGTATCCTTGGCAGCAGGGTATGGTCATATTACATATGTGGGCCTAATGGAATGCAAGCAGAGATGACATGGCCTACTTCCTGGCCTTCACTCTAACCAGTTTACAACTGCCCGTGCTCTGTCCCCAAACCAGAGACCTTGTAAGCCATATGTTGAAGATGGTAGAATCACATGATAGAAGGAGTCTGAGTCTCGGAATTAGTGATGAAGCAGAGCCATCTGCAGATCAGAAATGCCAGCCAGACTTTACACAAAGGAGAAATGTCTAGTGTGTTAAACCACTGAGATTTCAGTATTTGTCAGTTTATCGGGGTTATACACCTAGTATCATCTTAACTAACACAGTAGGTATTATCTACACCAAAGCTTCTTCTTAAAAAGATACCTATAGAACCTCATTAGTTCAGAACACAGAGAGGATCAGATTTAAAACAAGAAGGTGAATGTGTAAAATATCGGTTAGCTTCAGGGGCCATTGTCTGCTACCTCCTAGTGGACTGCAGGATTCCAAATCACAGAAAAGTCCAAACTGGTAATTGGTAGTTTACCGAAAATAATCTTGAAAGATGCTGATAGTATTACCCAATATACTCAAAAAGCATAATCAAATCCAAAACTGCTGCCTTATCTCTACTTTGCTCTTGACAAAATCAACAGGTCTCTGTTCAGAGAATATAGTTATTACAATTATCCAGGTTAATATAATTGTCCCAGCTGAAACCATGACCCTGTCTATAAGGGCCTCTTTTGCAAACAAGAGTGATGGCAGGCACTAGAGTAGAAAATGTACAAGTGTACAGCTCCCAAGGAGGAGTCGGGATCAGGACGTCAGCCCCTACTCCACATCATACCAGAAGCATAGGCTTGAGCAAGTCACCAAATTTTCTTGGTGTTTGTTACATCCATCATCTATAAAATGGGGTTACCAAAGTCTAACTTACTGTGGGGGAGAAGAACTAGAGTAGAAGAAGGTTGAAATTCTTTCAAACAAAAAGAAGGAAAGAAGAAAGGGAGAAGGGAAGAAAGAAAAGGAGGAAAGGAGGGAGACCTGACTTTATTATTTCCAAAAAGGCATGTGTATTGAAATTGACAATGTGTCTGCAATGTTGGAAGCTCTTAAGAAAGATCAAGGTCACATACAGGAATTGTGTGTGAGGACACGGAATAAAGTTGGGGACAGGAAAAGTTGATTGGATGCGGGTGCCATGGAAGCAGGGGTCCCTGGGCTATTTTAAGACAGCAGCTCACCGTAGTGTGGGATGATGCTCCAGGCCATGGCAGACGCATAGAGTCCTCCCGTCATCCAGAAGATGCCCAGCCAACTGAGGTGTTCTCCTCGTTTCTCCCGAGACAAGAATTCAGAAAAATAGGCAAAAACTATTGGCAGAGAGCCCCCAATACTGCAGAGAAAAAATACCAGAGAGAAAAAATCAAGTCATACACTAAAAATGGTTATAGCAAAAACCAAGTTGCCTTATGCCCACCTCTTAGGCTATGTAGTAAAATAACTCAGTGGATTTAAGAGACAGGCCAGGCAATTCCTCTCTACATGTGGGAAGTAATCTTGGATTTTGTTGATTGTATACACTGACTTTGGAGCTTAGCCCTAACCCTAACTCTTTCTAAGGTTCAACACAGTGTCTTGAAAGTTAAACAGAAAACTCAGTCCAAGGGTTTCTAGAGGTACCACTCAGTGCTAGAGTACTAAAATGGATGGACTATTAGTCTAGGAGGGCCCAGTTCAATCTCTCTGAGAACATACCCTATGCCTGAGATGAGTCGGCAGAAAAGGAAGGCTCCGTATCCCTGTACAAATGAGGAGAGGGAGGCGAAGGAGGCATTGACGGCCAGAGACATGCTAAGGACTCTCTTCCTTCCCAGTTTATCAGCCAGACCCCCCAGGATGAAGGCCCCTGCCATCATTCCTAAGTAGACTATCAGCCCTGTGAAGAGAATAAAGAGAGGGGAGAGGATGGAGACAGAAGACAAAATATTAGACTATTTGGTGTTCAGAAAAATTCAATGCTTATTTTTACCTATCCTAGAAATTCCATGTCATAGACATAAAAGGTAGACAAGATATTTGGGGCAAATTAGAAGTGCTATACAAATGTGACTTTTTACAGTTTTTGTAAAAATAGCCTCACCAGGTTTACACGTAGATACACAGACTAACACAGATCAACCAAAACTGGGATAGATGTACCTTTCTTAAAGATTACTCATTTCAATGCATAATCTGCAGACAAAGGAAATGTGTGATTTTATTTTTAAGCAAGAGAAGTGTTTATGCTGCAAAAGCCCTCTGTGTTTTAAGGAGAGAATTTCCAGGTCAAGTATGTCAAATGGGAAATGTTAGGAAGGAGGACCATGGTACAAGTGAAAAACGCCAGTACTAACAAGGCCAGTTATCTTATGTTATTACCACCAAAGTAGTACCTTTTTCAAGCTACAACCAATGTCCAGAATTCTTAGGGGAACGTAACATAAGTTGTATGTGGTGTGAGATAATGGTCCAGCTTCATTCTTCTGCATGTGAATTCCCATTCTCCCAATGCCATTTATTCAAGAGACGGTCTTTTCCCATTGTGTGTTATTGGCACCTTTGTTGAAAATCCACTGGTCATAAATGTGTGAATTTTCTGGGTTCTCAGTTCTTTTCTATCACTCTATATGTCTATTTTTATGACAGTATTATGCTTTTAAAAATTACTACAGCTTTGTAGATATTTGAAATAAGGTAGTGTGATACCACAAGCTTTGATCTTTTTGCTCAAGATTGCCTTGGTTATTTGTCTTTTGCGGTTCCATACAAATATTAGGATTTCTTTTATATTTTTAGGAAAAATGCCATTAGAATTTTGATAAGGATTACGTTAAACCTGTAGATCACTTTGGATAGTATAGACATTTTAACACAATTAATTCTTCCTATCCATAACAAATCGGATAGAGTTGGAGACAATCATACTTAGTGATCTATCACAGAAACAAAGAAATGAATACCACATGTTCTCACTCATAAGTGGGACCTGAACATTAATCACAAAAGCACAAGGGGGGGATTGGCTATAGCAGGACACTGCCAGGGGAAGAAGGGAGAAGGAGCACATGGCAACATAAAGCGAACCTGGTCCTAAACCAGAGGAAGTGAGGACCAGTTGTGGGCCCAAACTTCACCTGTACATAGATTACTTATGTACTTAATCCTGACTTGTACCCCACATGTCTACAATAAAACAAGGTTAAAAGGAGAGAGAAAGAGAGAAAAAAATGTCCTTTTATTTTGCCTTCTTCAACTTCTTTCATTGTCTTCTAGTTTTCAGTGAACAGATCTTTCTTTTTTTTTTTCATTAATCAGTATTTTTTATTATGGTTTTGTGGGGTACAGTTAAGGGTTTGGTGTACAATTACGTTTCATTCAGGCACCCTGTTGATAAGAGGTGTTTTCCCATCCCCCGACAGATATTTGCTACTGTTAATCCCATCCCCCTACCCCCCATAGTTTCCCAGTACCATCAGTCATTTTCTTATAGTATTGCATTGGATGTTCAAGGTCCATTATATGAGTGAGAACATGTGATATTCGGATCTTTGTTTTTGTGAGAGGTCACTCAGTATTATAGACTCTAGTTCCAACAAGGTTGCAGCGAAATTCATGATTTTGTGAACAGATCTTTCACTTCCTTGGTTAATTTATTCCTAAGTATTTTTGGGTGATATTGTAAATGGCATTGTTTTCTTGATTCTTCTTTAGATAGTTCATTGTTAGTTTATAGAAATGCTATTGATTTTTGTATGTGGGTTTCCTATCCTGAAATTTTACTAAATTTATTTATTAGTTATAACAATTTTTTGGTAGTCTTTAGGATTTTCTATATATAAGATGCTATCTGAAAACAGATAATTTTACTTCTTCCTCTATGATCGGGTTGCCTTTTATTTATTTTTTTCTTGCCAAATTGCTCTGGCTAAGACTTCCAGCCCCATGTTAAATAGAAGTGGCAAAATGAACATCTTTGTCTTGTTCCTGATCTTAGGGGAAAAGGCTTCAGCTTTGAGTATGATTTCAACTGTGGACCTGTCATATGTGGCCTTTAATATGGTGAGGTACATTCCTTCTATACCTAATTTGTTGAGAATTTTTACAACAAAAGATGTTAAATTTTGCCAAATGCTTTTCCTGCATCTATTGACATGATTATATAATCTTTATCCTTCATTCTATTAATGTAGTGTATTACATTTATTGATTTGCTTAAGTTGAAGCATCTTTGGGTCCCAGGAATAAGTCCACTTAACCGTGGTGAACAGTTCTTTTAATGTATTATTGGATTCTGTTTGCTGGGGTTTTTTTTAAGATTTTTACATCTATGTTCACCTGAGATTGAGTTTTTGGCCTATAATTTTCTTTTCTTGTTTTGTCTTTGGTATCAGGGTAATGCTGGTCTTTGAAAATGAATTTGGACATATATCATCTTCTTCAATTTTTTGAAAGAGTTTGAGAAAGACTGACATTAATTCTTCTTTAAATGTTTGGCAGAATTTACTAGTGAAGCCATCGGGTCCTGGGTTTTTCTTTGTTGAAAGGTTTTTGATTACTGATTCAATCTCTTTGCTTATTACTAGTCTGTTTGAATTTTCTATTTTTTCATTATTCAGTCTTGGCAAGTTGTTATGTGTCTAGAAACTTATCCATTTATTCTAAGCTATCTAATTTGTTGGGTATAAATGTTCATAGTAGCCTCTTAGGGTCCTTTGTATTTCTGAGGTATCAGTTGTAATGACTCTTTTTTCATTTTTTTTATTTTACTCGAGTCTTCTCTTTATTTTTTTTAGTCTAGCTAAAAGTTTGTCAATTTTCAAAAAATCAACTTGATGTTTTAATTATTATACTTTACCACTGTTTATAGGTAAGTATTTTTCAGATTCCTTGGCCCTACACTGGTTCATTCTTTCATTTGTTCATCCCCAGGACTGCTTGCTAAGTGGGGATGGCTCCTTCCTTTCATGGAGAGAAACAATAAAATGTATGATCATCTCCAAGTGACAAAACATACTCCAATAAAGGTATATGTGAGGTATTATTAAAACACAGAAAAGGAGCAAAGCTTGGATATACTTCACTCAACGTGGAAAATCTTCCAAGAGAAAGATGTTGAACTGTTCTTGAAAGACAAACAGAACTTAGTCAAATTTCCATTTGGTGATTTGGGAAGTGTATTAAAGCAGCAATAGACAGTATGTGCAAAGACAAGAAAGCAAAAAATTAAAAATAAATAAAAGCCTGGTATGTTTGGGCAATGACTTGTAAGTAGTTTCGTGTGAGTAGAACATAGTTCATTTTGGGGAATCTGATGAGGAATTCAGGCTGAAGGATAAGACAGAGGCCAGATCATAAACAGCTCTGTAGTGGGTTGGGTGTGTGTGTGTGTGTGTGTGTGTGTGTGTGTGTGTGTGTGTGTGTGTATGTGTTTGTGTGTGTGTGTGAATGTATATGAATACATGCATGTGTGACTGTGTGCACAAATAGGTGTTTGCATGCATGTGTGTAGGCCCTTAAATTATGGGGAGAAAGGGAGAGAATTAGAGAAGTGGCCCAGAGTTCCAGAGATTTGCTGAGAACCAATTTATATACCCCATGTCCTGGCCCCACCCAGGAGAAAAACACTAGCATTCAATGAAAGTTTACTTTTCTTTTACTTCAACAAAGCTATCTACAACACTTCTCAGACTTTACTGTGCACACAAATCACCTGGAGATCATGTTAAAACCACACTCTAATTCAGTAGGTCCTGGGTGGGCCCTGGGATGCTGCATCTCTAACAAGCTCCCAGATGATGCCAGTGCTGCTAGTCCAGGGACCATTCTTTGAATAGCAAGAGTCTAGAGCATACCTGTCCTCCTGTATCCAGTGAGGGATCATGACCAGAATCCTGACCTTGGAACTCAAAGATCTCATTCACTAATTGTATGATTTGAGAATAAAACCTCTCACCTTCTGAGGGTCTTAGCCACCTCATTTGTAGATTAATTACTGAACTAGAGATAATCTCCAAGCTGCCTTCCCTCTAATTTATTTGTTTAAAAATATAAATCATAGCCGGGCTCGGTGGCTCAGCCTGTAATCCCGCGCCTTTGGGAGGCTGAGGTGAGTGGATTGCCTGAGCCTGCGGGTTCGAGACCCGCCTGGGCAAGCGAGACCTCATCTCTACAATAAATCAAAAATTAGCCGGGCGTGGTAGCGCGCGCCTGTAATTCTGGCTACTCGGAAGGCTGAGGCAGAAGGATCGCCGGAGCCCAGCAGGTCGAGGCTGCGGTGGCCGGGAGCGGCCACTGCACTCCAGTCTGGGCAACAGAGTGAGACTCCAACACAAAAAAATAAAATAAAATAAAATAAATCATGAAAGATGAAGTCCTGAGGGTCTCCCAGGAAGAAGATTTTCAAATTAAAAACATAAACCCAGACACACATGTTTGATTAAACCACTGAGGGCCACACAAGACGTGTTCATGACATTGTATTTGTGTATCAAAATATCATATGTACATACTCCCAAACTATGTACAACTATGATAAGTCAATTTTTAAAATAAAGAGAAGATATCCTAAACCAAAAAAAGGTAGCTTCAAGGCCACCAGCTTGCAATCTCAGTAATGAACGCTGTGCCAGTTATTAAGCTATTCTCTCTTGGCTCCAAAGCCACCCTTCTGCACCCTACTTGGTCCACAAATCCCATGTCTGTTTTGCCAGTTGCTGCCTGCTAGGTTATGTCAATAGGGGGCACTAGAAGCCCTTCAGGGCTGGAGAAGGAAGGAAGGACCTGTCCTTTCTTTTCCTGTAGGTTTCACATGGACAGGTTTCACTTGTAGGTTTCACCCTGGCAGCAGCAGTTCAGTTCCACAACAGTAGCTGAATCCGATTAGCAGAGGCCACATCG